GGGTGCGGGTGGGGGTGGGGTTGCGCGAGGGGATTGCGAGAGAGGGTAGGGAGGTGGGCAGGGAGGTGCGCATGAGTGTGAAAAGGGGCACGGCTCCTGTCTGCGTGTGTTTGATGTATGTTTGTTTGTTTGTATGGACATATGTGCGCCCCTGTGGGGGAGGAGGTGGCGACGACGGTGACGGTGTGTTGATGTTGTTGATGTTGTTGTTCCCCAACCCCAACCCCAACTCCGCAGGTGGATGGTGTTCTTCGCCTTCCCCGTGTTTTGCACCTCGGTCCTCATATTGCGAGGTATTGTGCTATTCAAACGAGGTCATATAGCGGACAAGGAGGTGGGTGACAGGAGGGGGAAAGTGAGGAGGGGGGGCTGCTGAGTACCCGGCTGCATGAAGCAACTTAGGGTCATGTGGCAAGGGGTCCCAAGCAGCCAGAGGTAAGGGGGGAGAGGGACGCTGGGATGGCGGGGTGGCAACACAAGACACGCAGAATGGGCATTGTTAATTTTGGGAATCCGCTTGCCCCCTCTGGGAGGATGGGTTCGGAGGGGGAGTTAGGAGGGGGTGATGTGGGGGCGTTAGGTGGGCGGGTGGTCGGTGGGTGGGTGCGCCACCCACCCAGGGGGCTTGGGTGAACGGTAAACATCGCCGGCAAGACAGGGGTTATTGGGGCTGCTGCTGCTGCTGCTGCTGCTGTCAGATCGTAGGGTCATGTCATGCCATGTCTCTTACTTTCCCCACGTCCTTGGGGCCCATTGATGCCACGCACCCGGTGGTGCTAGTGGTGGTATACATTTCCTTGTCTGATGATGCAGGATGTTTAGGCCCTCCTTGTCCCCTCCCCCCCTTTGCTTTGTCTTATAGGGTATAACCCTCTTCACACTTCACACACACATACATACACACACACGCACTCGTGGCTGGCGGCGACAGCAGGCCCCGCACACGCACATAGACTGCCTCCCTCAAACCGAGTGAGGGGGTGACTGTCTAAGTGCTCACTTATATCGTCCTGTCCTTTTCCGTACTTCATCTCATCTATGTGGTGTCTTTGTCATGTGTATGTGTTTCGTTGTTTGCTGTTTGCTGTGTTGTTGTTGTCTCCGCTGAGCTTCTTAAATCCGACGCCGTGGTGGTTATGGTGGTTATGGTTGTTGCGACGGTTGTTCAGGCCTTCAACGTCTGGCTGGATGCCACTCTGAGAAAGAGTACGGTCCCTGGTTTACTGGTGTACCCGGAAGGTGAGGAGCTGAAGGCGGAGGGAGGAGCTGGGACTGTTGAAAGGGGATGTGGGAGGGGGGGAGGAGATGCGCAACGCCAAGTGGTACCGTTCTCGCCGTTTCCTTCACGCGGCTCAATAAATTAAATCAAGCATGTACACACAGACGTACGCACAGACGTACATGAACTCTTAACATGTTGCATATCTGGTTCCCCCCCCTCTTTCCCCCCTCCTCCTCCTCCCCCTGCTGCTGGCAGGCCACCGCAGTCTGAAGCCCCGCAGTCTGCCCCTTAAGCGCGGCATGCTCCACTTCGCCTTCAGCCGGCATCTGGCAGTGCAGCTGGTCATCACCCGCGGCAAGGAGGAGGTGATGAGTGAGAAGACCTGCTCGGCCAGGTGGGGCAGGACACTGGTCACCAACTACTCCAAGGTATGCGCCGGGGGGAGGTGGGGTGGGGTGAGCGGGTAGGGTGGGGGATAAGGGTAAAGGGATGAGGAAAGCCCACAGTCTCACACGCTTCTTTCTTTGGTTGTTGAGTCCAGTGGTGGTCAGGGGGCGCGGTACGACAGGGTGGGTCGTGAGGGCGCGGGCGGTACGACCTTTAGGTGCTGCCCATGTGCAGGTAGCTTTATAATGTACGGCGGTGTTTATCCTCATCACCCACAACTCGCGGGTTCTCATCATTCTCTTCGCTTCCACCTCCTCCTCCTGTCCGCCAACCCAACATTATCGCCACCAACACCACCAACAAAAACAACACCACCAACAAAAACAACAGGCAACTACATCATGGTGATGATTGTTGTCGTCATCCTACCTATGTTTGTCCACGCTGTTGTTCGCAAGCCCTTTTCCCCTACAAACCCCACCCCCCACCCCTCTACTCCGACACACACACGCACACGCGCACGGGCACAGGTCATCAAGCCGACAGATTTTGATAGCTTCGACGCCTTTTTTAACGAGATACAAACAACCTGGGATGCCTGCTGGCAGCTGTCGTACCACCAGCCGATTGCGGGTATGTGGCGTGCCGTACGTGTGCACTACACGGGATGTTCACTGACGTACGCGATGCTGCCCACTAAGCGGGGGGGACGTAATAAACCGTTATTGGGTACCTCTCTGGTGTCGTACGAGCCTCAAACCAGCCAACGCCGTCACTGCTAACTCTTGTCCACTCCTCACGTTCGGCTTCGGCCCCCGGCCCTTGCGGCCCACAGTGTAATCTAAGTCATACAGACAGACAGACAGACACACATGGGCCAGGCACTACTGGTAACGCACACACCAATGCCCCCGGGAGATCCCGGGATCGAGACCTATCACGGTCGAAAATCCTTCCGATGGTGGAAGGTAAAGTGCCCCTAGTCGATGGACGGTGGTGGCCTGGGATAAAGTTGTCTCGCGAACCGACCAGGAATGGAGTTGGGCCGCTGTCGATCCGGCAGATTCCGTTGGATGCTGGTGGTGGGTGCGGAACCTGAGCGATCCCTGAGAAGTTGACTAGGGTGACTGGATGAGGGTGCCCCGAAATACCGCGGGAGGCAGGGTCTCGCCGGGTAGCGGCCGCAGGGTGAAGATATGACCGCCCTGTCCCACACATCATCTTCAACCCGGGTGGTAATCTGTTAATATCTGCCATCTGCTACGTAAGGTGCGTTCCCAGTATCGCCGCAGTGTTCCGCAGTGATCTCACCCATACTCCGCAAATGCGTTGCTCCCCCTTCCCCCCGCGTAAAGCCCCCAGTCGGCAAACTACAAATCCCACCAGCAGCAGCTGTTTCTTTAACTTCTGCGTATATAAATGTTTATATATAACACACACACACACATACACAAGCAACCCACGCCCCCCTTTACATACAAATATCTGGTCTGGGTTGACACTACTGCGGTTTGCGGTGTAAGGTCCTGGGTTCGATTCCTGGGGAGACCCCCGAATTAGTCGGGAGCGCGAGATTATGGCTAGCTGCTGAGATGTGGAGTTGAGGTCGCAGTTGATGGACCAGATTCGCACGCTGGATTGGTGGAGATTGCCGAACCCTCCGTCTCTTCGGTTGTTCGGGTGAATGGATGAGGAGGGGTCCTAGACGGCTGGACCCGCCGCCTTGGACTTACAGTTCGTATGGCGAAGTATAGTGTGGTAGTGGTGGACGGTGCTATAAGATGATAAATCGTAGAACTGACAATGTGATAAAGCGGCCCAGAAGCCTCCCACTCTGTAACATTACACATTACACACACAAATATAAGACTGCATGTACATATTTACATGTACAGGTGTTCCGCGGCTGAGCCTCAAGGACGCGCATGAGTACGACTACCCGCCAAGCATGCGGTGGTTGCAGCTGGGTGTGACACTGCTCAGCATCGTCATTCTGGCTGCCGTACTGTACGGCAGCTGGGTGGTCCTCCGCGCCGGGGTACTGAGCTTGGGGTCGTCTGTGACGCAACAGGTGTGTGTGTTTATGTATGTGTGTGTGTTTGTGTGGCAGTGGTGGGGGGTCAGGACTTGTCTGTGGGGCCATGTGTGCGTATAGGGGGTAGGGAGGAGGAGATGGATGCGCGAGTAATCTTTTGCTTTACAGCCCTATACCGCGAATGATGTTGCCCTTGCATCGCCCTTGCATGTCTTTGATCGAAACGGTTGCCGGCACCTCCGGCACCTCCGGCACCCGGCCGCTATTTCCTCCGAAACCGCTCTATCTCTCTTCCAATATCTTTGCAATGGGAACACATGTGTTTCGCTTCCGCCTAGATGTAGCCTAGAATCGTGTTCGCTGAAACCTGAAACCTGAAACCGCATTACCGCTATGTGTTTCTTCAGCAGCACAGCGCAGCACACCGCGACCCAACACGACATGATGAACGTGCTGCTCGCAGGCTGTGGTGGTTCTCGGGGGGGCGGGTGGCTGGCTGGGATTGTCCCTGTTGAGGAGCTTCTTGTAGGGGGGGGCAGAGGGGCGCAAGAGGGAGGGGGTTGAGTGGGTGGGGGGGTGAGGACAAGGCGGCGAGGGAGGGGGCTGGTGTGTGTGTGTGTGTCTATGTGGCTCTTTGGGAGTGGGAGAGGCTTTACTACCAGCAAATGAAGCTCGAAGGAGGAAGGGGAGGAGGAGGAGGTTTACGATGTCGCGATTTTGTCCCGGATTGCTATATATTGCTATATATATATTTTTTTGTTGTTGATTGGTGGCCTACGATTAACGTGATTTCTTGTTCTTATAACAGACAGACAGACAGGCAAGTAGACAGGCCCAAGCAAGGTGGCTAGCAGGTTGGAAGACAGACAGATGGACAGACAGGCTTAAGGCAGGCTAGGAGTTCAGGGAGGAGAGGGGTGGGTGGGTGGGTGGGTGGGTGGGGTAACCCGCACGCACTCGCTTACGATCATGATCGGTTATACGAATGTACGCGTGTATGTATGCGCATGTGTGTGTTTCGTGGTGACGTGCATGCCACCCCGCACCTGCACCTGGTTGCGTTTCCGGGGAAAGAATTTCGGGGAAAGGGGGGTAAACGGCGGCGAGGGGGGTTTGAATTGACCGGCGTTGTCCGGCGGTGGGAAATTTTTTCGCGGTGTGTGTGCGTCTGTATGTGTGTATGTGTCCCCAAACTCTCTCTCTTTCTTGCGGCAAAAGCCCAGGAGAGAAGAGAAAGAGAGAGAGAGAGGAAGCGAGCTGTTCGTGGTGCTGCTCCGTGCTGCTGCCTAACGAACCTAACGAACCTTGGAAAGGCGGCTGTATCCCACTTTGGCGATAGTAGCAGTGGTGATGATGACGATAATGGCAACAGTAATGGCTAATGGCGCTTTTGAAATGCTTTGGGATGGTGGTGTGATGGTGGCTGATTGCTGTGTGCTGGTGGGAATGCGCCGCCACCGTTATCCGCGAGTGAGTGAGTGAGTGGTGTGTGGATGCGGCTAGTCGCTTTTTATGTCATCGCCCTTTCGTCATATCACCACTCGTATTCGTTTCTGGATGGATTCTATTTTATTCAAGTAAGCACCGGAGTTCAGTCAGGGAGTTTTGCCCTGACGCTAAGTGCAACAAGGCTCGGAGTTCTCCTAGTCCGACCCGTCCGACCTCCTCCTGAATAAATAGTGTGCGCGCGCATATGTGTGTGTATATATGCGCCTGTGAATTTACGGGGTGGGATACGGTGAAAAGGTGTGTCTCTGCGATGTATGTGTGTGTGTGGATCTCCGCAACCAGGGCTGGCTGCTTTCGGCTCCGAAGGACCCGAAGGACACTAATAATGTGGGTGGTGTTATGAGGGGATGTGACCTACTGTGCATTGTGGCGAGGGGGTTGGTATGTTGGAATCTTATGCGTGTCGGGGATGGGGCGGGGTCGAGGTGCAGTGTGGATATGAAAAGGGAGAGGGTTTATACTGGTTGGTCCCCCGGGGATTCCTCAAAGCGCGGCTGTGGTGTTGTGTTTGCCCACGTGCTTGCGGCCGTACGGCGCTTGCCGATGCCCGCCCGCCCTGATCACCGGGGGCCGTCGGGGCCTCAGTCAGATGCAGGGGGCCCTGCCGCCACCGCCTCTTTGCTTCCTTCGCTTCTTCGTGATGCTGAGAACTTATAACCTTTTATGGGAGGGGGAGAGAGAGAGGGGGGGGGAAGGGAGAGAGGGAGAGCGAGATGGGGGGGGAGGAAGGGCTGAACCTCCCCTTCCCCTTCCGGGGGTCCACCAGCTTGTTTGAGTGATGGGAGCGAGGGGGGTTCGGGCGGCAATGGGGGAGCCTGTAGCCCAGAAAGAGGAAGTTTGTGTGTGCTTGTGTACTCGTGTGCCGTAATCGTGAGAGAGGTAGTGGAGGAGTCCGGAGCCAATGGTGCTCCACCTGGATTTATTGTGACCACCTTCGGGGTTGGGTCTTCGTAGCTAGCTTTATGTATTCAATACACACACGCATATATACACACAGAGATGCACCGTGTCGTTTCGCCGCCTTCCCGCCCACTCGATTCAAAATACATACATGTATACTTACATATCTATACATATTTGCTTTTTACGCGCACAAGTGCGCTCCTTCCTGGACGCCTAAACCTGACAGCTCAACACGACCTTGGTCCGCGCCGCAACCCGGCACGGCAAGGCCCCCCCAAACACGCATATAGATATATAAATGTCGCCCAAGTGAAGATCCTGAAAACAAAGAAACTTGAAAATCGACTGCTGCTGATACAACAAGGAATATCATGTGTGGACACAACACTAAAGACTAGTTTTCCGCCAAGCGCCAGAAAGAAACCGAACCTCGTCCTCCTTTCCGTTATCATTACCATCACCTTCATGGTGTACGTACTCGTCATCAGTCGTGCAGCAGTATCTGCACCCACTTCTTGTCCTCGTCAGTCTCCATGCTGCTCCAGCCCAGGCTGTTCCGCAGCTGCTCCATCCGCGCCCGGTTCCCCGGCCCCGATATGCAGCCGGGGGTCCAACAGAAGGGCGGGGGAGGCGTGTTGATGTGCGCCTCGGACCTGTGTGTGTGGAGGGTAGTGCTTCAGTTTATCTGAAAGGTCATATACAACCCTAACACCAAACTGTTTGGGAACCCTCCTACACATGCAGCCAAATGACACGCCTCACGCATGACTGCACACACACACATATATATGTATATATATACATATAATATACATATAATATACATATATATGTATATGTATGTATGTATATGTATATGTATGTATGTATATATATGTATGCATATATGCATATAGCATATATTGGATGCCCCTCCTGGTCTGAACCCCACCCTCATCCTCACACGTGTTTGAACTTCCCGTGCAATCAAAACCCGGCTGCCCCGGCATATTGCAGACCTGAACGCCACCGCCGCCCCGCCGCCCGTCGCAAATTTGAACTCCAATAGGTCAACGTCCTGACGACCTGTACGGCATTGCAGGAAGGACACCAAGCAGCAAACTCACCCAAATCATCTCCCCCGGGAAGTCGTCCCTCTCCCTCAAAACCACCTTTCCGTACCTGAGTTGTGATTGCGGTCATGGCATTAACGATGATAATGGTGATGATGATGGTGGTGGTGGCTGTCATTTTCCCATGCAGGCTGATTTGTAGCCGAGGTGTGTGCACTAAGGTGGTACAACCCAACCCTAAGTGGGAAACCGCCTCCTGAAATCCTCCTGATGACGTTCGCTACACGACAATGATAACTGCATTCACAATCAGAAACCTCCAAAAGCCCGATCAGAAGTCTCCACCGAGCGATTCCCTTCCCACCGCCCCGTTACCCCCTCACGTCGTGCCTCGTGCAGTATCGTGCACATGCAAGCTTGCTCACGCCACCCGATTACTTCGTACGGCGGAACTACCTGGGGCTAACTGGTACGGCACCAACGCGGCTATGTAGCCCTTGGCCTCATCCTCCTGTACGACGGTTCCTCCCCGTGTGCGAAGCTCGTCCAATAGCAGCCTGCCGTGGCGGGTGAATTTCGAGGGCTTAGAGGGCAGGGCAGGGGAAGGAGTACACGCGGGGCAGGGCAGGAAGGTGAGGGCTGGGCTGGGCTGAGGGCAAAGGCGCGTGCGGGTTTAGGTGGGCGGGTGGGGTGGGGTCGGGTCGGCACTGAGGGAGAAGGCCCCACGCATCAGACATCGCTCCATGGCCAAGGGCAGGAAAGCGCAGATGGCCCAGATTGGGCCAGCGGACATCCACAAGGCGGGCAAGCGGGTATGGCTTTCAGGGCCCGAGGGGGGAGGTAGGCACGGTATTCGGGGGCTAGGATGGATGGCCAGGGTGCAACACCAGCCGCACCTCCACCTCAAGCCCACCTATGTAAGTCGTTACAGGGTGGTATAGCTTCACCAGCGGCCCCCTTTCCCGAGGCAGTTCCCTGCTCTCCCCTGCTAGAGGGGCACCCTAATCCGTTCACCCCATCCGACTTCAGAATGCATTCGTTGGGTTCAGCAACTCACCACCAGCATCCAACCAAATCTAGCGGATCAACGGCGCCTCAACTTAGTTCCTGGTCAGCTCGCAAGTATGTATGTATGTATGTATGTATGTATGTATGTATGTATGTATGTATCTATGACTTAGATTACACTGTGGGCCGCGAGAGCCGGGGCTCGAAGCCGAAACACAGCGCAAGGGTCGGGAGCACACAGCACAAGTCGGTTAGTCTTGTGTGCTCCCGACCCCGACTCAGACTGCCATTGCCACACGGATTGGGTTGCCCCGGTCAGTGTTGGTGAGAGGGGAGAGCGAGGCCAACTGGGTAAACAAGTTCATCCCCGGATGTGCATACGTACCTCTTGGCCTGTGCCGGCTCCAAGGGGTCGAAGCTCCAGGGTGCCAGGTACTGGGAGGGGGACATGAAGTTGGCGGTGGAGACGCAGCTGGAAAAGGGGGGCGGTAGGGCGGGAGAGCATGCACGCATGGTACCACGCGGCGCCGCTTGTCCAGAGGTTTTGGGGGAAGTGGTTAGGCGAGGAAGCAGGTAGCTAGGAGCCAGCGGTCTCCGTTGTCACAGGATGGCAGTTGTTGGGAGCTGGCAGTTACTAGGATATGTTGGCACCGGTAGTTGTTGGACTGCAACGTAGTAACGGAGCAGTTGCGTCTGGTGGTGGTGGGGGGGGGTTCGATGGTGGTGGTGGTTGCTGAGGATGGCATGCCAGGACCGCCTCGCTCTTCAGTTAGGACCTGTTAGGGGTTCATGTATGTATGTGGTTGTGCTCTTACTTTTGTCATAGCGTTACTTGTTCGGTTTCCTTCTTCTGCGTCTTCTTTGGTGCAACGTAAACGAAGCGCAATAATGTGCAGCGAGGAATTGCTGTACATCAATTTGCTGCCGATATCTATCTATAATGATCAGGATGCAGAATCATATTACATATCGAATCCCCCCAGCCGTGTAGAGCCGTACACCTACCTAGTCCGAGGTGCACAAGGCAGCAGCCGCCCCGCACCTTCGCCGTCCAGGTGCAGGGGGGGACCCACCTGGCGCATGCAGAACCACACAAACATACACACATAAGCTGCCTTCCCCCCAGTACACTGATAGCATAATATTCCATGTTGATGGACGCGGAGGGGAGTGTGTTTGTGTGTGTGGGGAGAGACGGTTGCAAAGCACCCACACGGAGGATTGCGTGGTCGCAGCAGAGGTAGCCGCAATCAATTGTGCTGTTCTTTATGATGCCGATTATGAAGTGTCCGTCACTAAATGTAATTTGAGCTTGTGCAAATGCCTCAAAAAGGAGCCGCACAGCGGGGTCGTGCGGGTCGGGGGACCAGCAGGCGAGATACTTTTGATCTTGAGGACTCAGCAGAGCTGCCCGAGACGAACCACTGGCGAGGGGAGGAGAGGGAGCTCCGTTCAATCGGGCCTGGCCCATTCATGCTGGCATATGTATTACTGGGCCCAAGGTTTGAAAGCTGCTTCATTTTCCACGCGAAGTGAAATTGTGCGGGGACGGTGGGAAAGGGGATAAGACTGATTCAACGGCCTTCCAGAGCTTGCAAAGGTAAACGGATAGGTGCCGCGGCTATTGTAATCCATTGTTGAGGCGTGGCATAGCGTCGAGCAACTGGACGAAGTACGCCTCTGGGGCCATGGCATGCTCGCGGACAGCTTTGGGGACTCATGGAGTGTAGTGCTGGGTTAACCCCCCACTCTAGGTCCAGGAAGAGGATGGCGCAGAAGGGTAGGACGCATGCATGGTTCCTATGGCATACCGCCAGGCACACTGTAGTGACATTTGACCCTTACGGAATGGCGGGATAAATGATGGATTCCAACGCCACAAACAGACCTGCGATACTAAAGTCCGTGCCGAAACAGGTGATGACATCAACATAATCGCCGCGGTGGCAGCTGGTAATGTGGAGGCAAGTCCTTTTAGCGGGCTGACCCTCACTGGTGAAGTCTTGAAACCTCTGCCATTCCTTGTAATTCGATGCATTCATAAAATTTGTTTTACAAGCATCAAGTCCTGTCATATCCTGAAAGTTTAAGCAATTTATGAAGCATACGGCCGTACAAAGTTTACTGCTCAATAGTGTTAATAATCGCCATGTTCCGTCGCAGCGCATAAGCTGCACCTCAACGAGAGAACTGGCGCCCAAACCTCCCATAAAGTTGTGAAGCGGTTTCGGCGCCGTCGATACGCTTTATGAAATTGATTTGCAAGTTCGAGAGCATACTGAGTTTATATTTTCAACATGAACTAATAGCCTTGATCTTTACGCGAATAGGTAGCAAAAGTCCCGCGCCTCAAGTTCAGGGGATGCAGACAATTGACCTCTCCTTTCCTTAGGTTAGGATCGCCATGGACCTGCGCCATGGGTTTTGGCCTACTTGGCGGCGCTGTTCACCAGTGCCACGAAGCGTGCTTACGTGCACGCCCGCGTACGCCGTAACCCCAGTGCAGCGGCGCCTTGCGCGCCTGCAACGAGGTGTCAAGCAGGGCTTGCTAGCATGCTGCGCAGTTGCCTTAGACAACATCTCTCGACCAGCAGTGGCGATTGAGCCGGTGTTCCTTGAAGACGTTTCCGGCCAGGGCTTTTGCATTCCCGAGGCAGCCTGCCCTGCAGTATTGCAGACGCGACTTTCGAAAGCCCACACCAGCGCTGCAAGTGCAGCGTTAGTTGTACAGGACATGCCTGGTGAGGAAAAGGTACTTGCTCCGCTGACTGGACAAGACGTACTGATATGCCCGCATGGTGTGCCTATTCCAGACGAAAAACTTGTAGCCACGGCATCCTTGGACAAGGGTATGGCGATTTGGAGATTTTACTCAACGCAAGGAGTAAGCCCTTTCTTCTTTTGCAACAAGCTATCGACGCCCAGAGCGGGAAGCCATTATTAAATTTTGTTCTACCCCACAGGAAAGCGAGAATTTAGATGGGTCATGCGAAGAAAGCATAGAGGTGACTCGTCTTAAAGTACCCGGGGCACCAGTTTTCTCGCTCGCGAAAATTCCTGAGGTGTTACCGGATGGGACGATCTTGCGCAAACGTCCCAAGCCACCTGGCATCTATTTGGGAACTGCTTCAAAAGAGGTTCTCACATGGATGCTGGGCAGTAAAGACGTGACTGACAAGGTAGGGCAGGAGGTTGGAGGTAGGGCAGGAGGGTGAAGGGTTTCCTTTTTAGACATCTGAATGCAATACACCCGTTGCCCTAACTGCTGTAGAAAACGTCACAAGGTTGTAGCCTTGTGCTGTTTTTATGCGCCAGTTACAGGGTTGTTGGTTAGCCGAATCCCGCCAACAACTAACCGTTATTAAATTGTTGCTCCAGCCGGTGTCCGTGACATCCTAGTTGCTGAAGCCCAGACCCGATGCATGTGGATTACACTCTGCGTGTGCTATGCATAGGTGGTGCTCGACGGCCATACTGGCTGGGTACGCTCGTTGGCAATCACCGGCAAATGGCTTTTCAGGTAGGCTGATCCTCGCAAACATATCTGTATTGGACATAGTACTGTCGTTATGGGATAACAATAGCTACTTGGCTGTGCTCCCGTTCCATGCGTCTACCATTTACGCTAAACAACCGCGAGCTTAGAGCTCTGACAGCACATTTCAGTTGCTCCCCACACCTGAACCGTTGATAGAAGTCCTGTGAACGCCTATACATCTTACGAGCATCCTTTTATCCTAAAACCGCCTTCCGGTTTGCAGCTGTGGCTGCAATTACCTGCGGCTTTGGGATACCACCTTCCGCACGCCGAAGGAGTGCGACGCCGTGCGGCTTTTCACGGGCGATATTCTGGCTATTGCAGCGTCTGATGGGCGGGTTTTTACGGCTGGGGCGGACGGGTCGCTCCGTTCGTGGATCATCACCCGCTCTGGCGACCTTCAGGAAGGCCCTAGCCGGGAACGGGCGCATGATGGGCGCGTGTCGGCCTGCACCGTTGCAAACGGGCGAGTCTTCACTGTCTCGTACGACGGCAGCGTTAAGGTGCGCTGTTTAGTTAATAGCGGTATTTATTGCATTGATGACTCAGGGCTAGAGGAGCTAGGGTAGGGTAGGGTAGCGCACGGGCGGCGATATTCTGGTGCCAGGCTGCCAACTCCGGAGGTCGTGTTGTCAGGGAGTAATGAGCCAAGGGGATTGGCATAACAAGAAATTTTGATACCTAATGCACGAAACGGCAGCACTAGTCCCTGCAGACGAACGATGAGAGGATGAGTTCTCCTTGCCCCTTGCATGCGATGCATTAGGCCTGGAGCGCTGAAGCCCTGGAGCTGGTTGCCGAAGTGCGGGGCGCCCATAATGGCGACAAGATCTTTTGTGTGGCGGTTGGCTCGAACGGAGTTGTGTTTACCGGCGGGGACGACAAGGTGGGTTCCATGTGAGGACGGGATGTAGGGGGTAACTGCATGATTAAAAGCCTGAGTTGCTGGAGTTCAAATCAAGCGAACGGGACCCTCATTTCCTGTGGGGCCCCGTCTCCCTGAGGGAGCAATTTCCGGAAACTCGTCTGTTGCATCTGTTGCATCGACTTGGACTGCAAACAAGAAATATGGTAGACTTAAGATAGACATGACGCTTTGCTCATCTGATCCACCCTTCTTGGCATCGCGTTACTGTTATTTGCCCTGTGTTGATCTACATGTGCTAACAGCTCGTTCGCGCCTGGGACCGCGACCTCAACCCTGTCGGTAACCCACTGGAGGGTCACGCGGCGTCGGTGCGCGTGCTGTCAGCGGGCCGCCGGGCGCTGCTGGTCTCTGGCGATGCAGAGGGCGACGTGTGCATCTGGGAGACGTACCCTGTGGAACTGCCCTCCCCAAGTAGGCCCTCCAGCCCGTCCACTCCGACAGAGGCCTTGCCGTCTCCACTGCCACCATCATCATCAGTCGTAACAGCGGAAAGCAACACCTTTCTGGAGGTCTGTGCTGCTGGCGGTGCAGCTGATGCGGTGCTGGCTGGGGCAGGAGGGCCCCCTGCACCGCCTTCCTGTGCCGTGGAAGTCGCCATGGCGGGGGCTACCATGCAGCATTTGGAGTCCATGCTTGCCGCGCAACATGATCAACAACAGCAGGCGGATACTACGGAGGAGCTGCAGCAGCAACAGGTGAACGACAGTCAAGTCCACGCGCCTGTCGCACCACCATCCGTGGTGCAGCCCCTTGTACATGAGGAAGAGCAGGTAGTGCATGACGGGATGGTGGCATCAGTGTCTGACGAGCAGAAGCCTCCGGGGGCCGGGGCCCCCGCGGCAGCTCATGACGAGGGGCAGCAACAGCCGGGCGCGCCCATGCCGGTCGAAGAGGATGTACCCACCATCGCTGTGGCGGCGGACAACGACGATCGCGTAACTGTAGTCGATGCTGACACTCACCCAGATTCCAATAAGGAGAACTCTGCAACTGCCGAGCTCTCTGCGAACTGGCTGGCGGGAACAGCAGGCTCTTGCAACGGCTATCAGAGGGATTCCGAGGGCGACCTCGAAGCGGTGGCGTCGGCGGCACCGGTCTGTTATGCAAATGGCAGTATTGGATTTACTGTGATGACTGCGGCCGTGTCGGGATCGGCGAATGCTGCTGAGGAGGACTTGGGTGGTGCTGATGCTTCTGAGGAGGAGGAGGAGGCGGTACCATCTCATGCTCGTCAGATTGAGGTGGAGAGTGTGGCATCGGCAGTTGCGGCGGCCTGCCTATCTAAGGACTAATGGACCGCCCCCTGGTGACTGACCCAGAAGGAAGACCATGCAGGCAGATACGGAGGTGCGGGCGACGGCTGCTTGACTGACGTCTCTCGTTATATTCCAGTGTTTCACTAGCCGTAACAATTTGTTTAATCGTCGTGCCTGCAATTTTGATGTTAGCGGCAGCAGCATTGCCGTCTGGGGTGCGCCTGATCAGCTACAGCAAGGGCATCAGCACTAGATGTAACGGTTGTCCTATGCAATGGGTTGGCTGTATGTGCGTTGACATCCGCGCAACTTGCGTCAACTGCAGACGGTTGTTGCCAATTTGCCAGCTTTCTGCAGGTACTTTTTCGTTATGTGCTCCTCGCTCCGCTTCGCTTCAGGTGGCTCCCCCAGGCTTTGACCCAAAGCTGCGCGTGGCCAGCGCCGTTGTTTCTTTGTGTTGAAGGTTTTTTTTTAGCTGATGTTGGTTGTGGAAATTGGCATGGGATGTGTGCTTCGGCTCGAAGTTCGAGCTGTCAGTTATCGTAAGAAAATCGTTTTTATGATGTACAGGTTTAGGTGTGGGCCGCGGAAGCAGTGTCGTCGTCCGTATCAGCATGGGCCCCGAATGCAGACGCAGCCGTGCCTTGGTGCATATTGGCACAGCGGGCCCCCTATGGCGGGACGCAGCCCTCAGCAGATGGCGACAGTGAGCAAGTCCGACATATGGTTTGTGGTGCCTGATGGGATTCTGTGCGTTGTGTCCTACCTGCTATCTTCGACCTTGGATCAAGCCGTGTGGCCTCTCCTTCCCAGGGTGGCATATCCCGGCAGCGCCGACTGCACGGGGGAGCACCGAAGAAGGCCCCCAAACTCGTGAGCATGAGATCTCTGTCACGTAGATAATGCGGATGGTGCTGTGGGATGCCTTCAATCTCCAATGGCGCCCATGATTAGGTTTCTCGTCCAATACGGCATTTTGTACGCGCGGCCCGAGCATCGAAGAAGAACAGGCATTTGTCAATCCCGAATAGTCGTTATAGACCATGCAGGCATGTAGAATGCTTTTTATTGGAGCTATGTGTCGAAAGCAACGCTCCATTCTCCCTGCATTTGCGTCGCATAGGTGGGTTGGGCGCCGACCCAAGGAGCAAGTGGCCACAATGAATGTGAGCGATTGAGTTGAGCTTTGTGGCGTATTTGGCGCATCCTGTGTAATACTTTTCATTTCTACTTATCTGAGTGATGTGTGGACATGGTTGATGCTTTCTTTTGTTGTTGTCGTTGGTGGTTGCGATGGTTGGTGATGCCGTTGTTCTTGTTCTTTGATGGTGGGTTATAATCACACGCGTGTGTGTGTGCGCGTCTGTGTGCCCGTGGCTTGCGTTCTCGGCGCGACTTGTCTGTACCATAACGTATCCAGGTGTACCTAGGGCTATCCTTGGTGTCAAATGAGAGTCGTCGTCCGTTTCTTCCCGAGTCGGCAGTGGTGCAAACGCGACATGCTCTTTTTTTATGACATGGCAAGCGCTGAGGTGTGCGCTGCGCTTGTGTCGACAGCAGCGTCGGCGATGATGTAGGTTTGGTTTGGCCTGCCGGTTGATACTGCACGGTGGTGGCCCCCAAGGGCCCCTGCCTGAGCCCAAAACAAGGCCACAGCAACAGCAGCGTTGTGTAGGAGGGCCCAGCATTGTCGGGCTCGAGTTGCGTTTCTTATAGTTGTGCACAGGTTGTACCTATCTTTGCCAGGGTAAGCTTTAGAAGTCCGAATATATTGGTCGATTGCGGGTGATTGGTTGAACGGTTGAAATGGAGGGAGGAGGGGTCTTATTCTGGGCCTGAGTTTCGAGGGCAGCTGTTTTATTTGAGGCGTCATGCGTCTAGATAGTTGTAGTAGTCATTGATTCTGTTTTGAGATGATGTAATGTTGATGATGATGATGATTAATGACGTTAATGATTTCAACTCATACCCTACGGTTATTGTGCGGCTATTCTGCACTTTTAATTGGTGTGGAGGACACTTGTTTGGGCAAATGGAGGGAGCAGCGCGGTATCCGTAAATGTTGCGATGTCGGTTTTTGCGGTCAACGGGAGGCGTGACAGGCGTTTTATGTTTCATGGCGATGAGTTGTCAGGAGCGTTCGCGGGAATTCATCAAATGAAAAGTGGGTGACAACCCAGTGATGTAAAGAGGTGAAGTCAGGTTGGCAGCGGCATGACGTTGGACGTACGACTTGGGGCTCGCCATTCAGCCATTCACTAATCGGACAGAGCATTCATATGTGCATTAGTCCCAGCCGTAAACGTCAAGGCATGGATGGCTAGGCATGGGCCGAAAGCTGGAAATGCAGTCTTCTTAGGCCAGCAGCAAATACACTGGCTTCGGGAAAAGAGAGAACATGGCTTCCCTCCTCTATCGTTCACGCCCGTCGCAACTCACTGCATCCCCTCCAAAATATTAAACATATTTTGGGCAGCGGAGGCGTATGCATTGGATAAAAGTTGGCCAACAGACTCCTTTGCCCTCCTGCCCAGCGCTCAGGATGCAGTCAGGTACGGCCCATCCATGCGGCCTATCCAGGATTGACAACTCTCTTAACCTAACCTTCATCAAAACAACTACCTTCAAGGTATACAGTCTTACAGGCAGTGCGCGACCATGTGCACCGGAATACGTTGGCTGCTTGGTGTATATGCCCTCTGCTACCCCCGGGAATTGTGGCAAGGACCTACCTTAGGGCCGCAGGACGGCTCGGTCGATATACATGCCTTGACGACGACGTGAACTACGTACGCATCTGATCCGCATAATGTATCCGGATATACCAGCCGTGTTGCTATATACCCAGAGACGTTTCCTCGCCGTGAGTGATGGCGGTCTTGAACCCTTATTCTACGCTTCTCCCCCCCCCTTCTTGTCTCTCCATTTCCGACGGAAGTCAGACGCAAGGAAAGGACGTGTGATCGTTAGACCGGAGTGCCTATCTTGATTGGAGGGAGATATACACTTCTTAGAGCCGATCGAAGAACATCATCGGTGCATGACCCAACAATGCACGAACAGCTCAGACGCCGAATGCGCTCTGGCTGAGTAGCAGTGCTAACTGCAGAACCCAAACCCACCTAAGGAGGGGACGAAAGAATCCAACGACGCGAATTCCCGCACCAGTGGCACAGTCCCCCAGCAGCGACTGACTGACCGCCAACCGTCGAACACAACAGGAAAAAGAAAATGTCCTTCACGCGGACGCCACCATCCGCCCGCCCGCCCACCCACCGCAATCCGCAATGGGGAGCCCTCGCAGTGAAGTCTCCCTTAACCCCCCCCCATGCGGTGCAAAACAGAAGCCAAGATAATGGTAGGTGGCCGACATATACGCCCACCCCCGCCCACAGCATTCGCACAGAAATACAAACTCCTTACATGTCGTGGTAACTCCTTCCCCATCGCCAAAACCAGACCGAAAAACAGTATGTAGGAATTCCGGGAACCAGCACTACTAGTCTATTATTATTGCTACAGCAACCAACTAACCGACTAAGCAACTAACTCCATTCGAGGTCATTCAGATCACGCCCGGTCATTAATGCCACCGGTTAGGGGATAGAGGGTGTGTGTGTGTGGCGCCATCCAACGGGCCCCAGCCCCGTTTGCACATGCATGCCCGGCTAGGTTGGGCCGTGCCGCCGGCTAATTGGGTGTACAAGCAAAACCCTGTGTACTCCCGCCACATCCCTCGTCCATGCACACCACATTCGGTAAGAGGCCCCCCTTGCCGTCTGGCCTTAAGGTGCCTTCCCAAGTTTGCGGCTTCTTACTCGAAACCGTCACCCACCCTAGCACGCCTGAACTAGACATTCCGCCTTCCCAAACCCCGGAGCCGTTTTCCTTTTCCTCTGTAGGAGCCCTTTCCGCCCTCCCCCAGAAGCCAGGGTCATGTACACCAGAGGGGGGGCTTTCCGTTTCTTTGGGGGGAGGCGGGTGGGGAGGATGGCGGCGGGGCACCAAGGCGAGAGCATCGTCAAGTGCATGCCGTTGCATGTATGTGTACATTTGTATGTATGTGTGTACACATGTGTGTGTGCGTACAGCTCATCGGGCCAAATATTACCACACCGGGTTCCCACCCCCCACCCCCCACCCCCCCCCACCCCCCCCCCCACGAAGATGAACTTAGGTTGGTCTAATTCATCGCCTCATTGTACCATTACTCACATTACGCACAAACGTCGGCAACACCACGTCTCCCAACCGCCTATCAAAGCGCGTCAGCAGCCGTCAGTCCTCAACGCAACAGGGGGTTCCCAACCGCAACAGGTTGCTGCTGTCACGCAACCGCCGCCGCCGCCGCCGTCACGTGCACAGTTAGTTAGTTCAAGTAAATCAACGGCAAACAACTCCAACAGCAACAGCTTCTCTGTTGGGAATAATCGGCTGATACCTACCTGATATCCAAAAAACGATAACCCTAACCTAACCTAACCTAATCTTGCAACTTACCCCAACAACTGCCGCCTTTACAAACTATGTGCGTCCGGCCTACCTGCCCCAACCCGCATCGCGCAGGTGCCGTAACCCATAACAACGTAACGCATTAGAACTCAGTTGAATTTGTTGGGCGTTACATCATCCCTTTCAGACAGTTGAGAGTTAGTTGGGAGTTACATCATCCTTTTCAGAGGCTCCGATTGTTCAATTGATCCTTCATCTCCGTACATTACGGCGTACTAGCCGCCAAAAAGTACGAAAAGACGTAGACGCGGTACAGCCCGGCAGCAAGCCACATGAAGGCCAAGGTGGAAATGAAGATGAGAGTCACGTCTGCGAAGTCGTACTGGGGGTTGGGGGGATTGAGGGGGAGGATCGGCCAAGTGAGGCTTCGGTGTGGGGCTCAGCAGGGCGGCATCATCCGTAGCGGCCTATTCGACTTCCGGCTTCCGGAGCGCTAAAACCTTATCACGAATCCTGACCTAGGCGCTGGAAAGCATCCCATCAGAGTTGTCACTGTTTGTAAGACCCGACTGCTGAGTCCTCAATCCCTGCCAAGTTCCTCACATTCCTTTCGGAGCCCGAGAATTCTTTGGGGCGCCACTCCCCTCTCACACACACACACTCAACAACACGGACCACGGCCCGCACCTCACCTCCTGTTTGGGGGTGAGACAGTCAATGAGCTGGTGAGCATGTCGCTCCGCTTCCTGTGCGAGCTTTTTCAGAGCGTCCTAGGGATGACGTGGGGATGAAAGTGAAATCGGGGGCCAAAGAGAGAGGACCGGGGGGTGGGGTGCGTGTCTAAGAAAGGGAAACACACACACACACAGACACACACTTCCCACTTCGGGCGGAATAGGGGCAGGAAGTTCATTAATGTTACCCACTGGCAGCAACTTATAAGTAAATAAGTTAATAGCAGCAGCAGCAGCAGCAGCGGGAGGAGGAGGAGGAGTGCGAGAAATAGAGGTACGAGGAGCAGCAAAAACGCTAGTGCACATGTGTTCAGACAGACAGACAGACAGACAGACAGGTTGGACAGGCCGCCAAAACGCCGCGGGACTTCCCAACCTCCCTGAAGTCCTTTGTTCTACGTGCGGCTCGGATGTGTGTGTGTGCCAGAGGAGTTGTTGATTTAAATTTCGGATCCCCCTTCCCGCAAACCCCTCGGGAACATTTCCCCTTCGGACTCCTCATCTAGCTCACTCACTCACCCACACTCGGCCAGCCCGAATGAACAGAAATGGCCCCAAAGCACCGGGGGGCTCCCTTACCCCAGCTCATACCTTTCAATCTTTCGTACGGCCTCATTCGGGTCCTCCCCATACGTGGAAATTAACCCAATCCGTAATCCGAACTCCCGTTATTTGATCTTCCTATTTTGATACGTTGGCCTTTCGTTCGTCGACTTATCGTTCTCCGCTTGTTTTGGTGGTTTAAGGACTGCTCTGACTCCAGGCTATCGACGTCCTTGACGTCGTTGCACATTTGAATTTCGCATCTGGGTCTATCTGATTGCAAAATCTGAGGGTTTGCGGAGCCATTTTTTTATTCCCCTCACGGCTCGCCCCGGCAGGAGGGCAGGTAGCACATCCCGGAAGTAGCTACGGACCGCACCCACGCGGGGCGGGGTTTGCGCACCTCAGGTCCTTTGCCGCCACCAGGTCCCAGCGCAGCAATTTGGGTTGCTGTTTTGGTTTTTGTTGTGCACAAGGAAATGCGATGGGGTTGAAGGTGCCTGGTAGTAGTGCTGCACACTCCACCATGGGCTACGCGCGCGCCATGGCGACACCCGTCGCTGCGATAGCGTTCGCTGAGGTGGCTGAAATGCATGCGTGATACTGCTCTCGGGGTTGCTCAATGACAGAGCAGTGGAAGATAATGGTGTTAACAGCGCGAGTGCGCAGAATGAGCCCTGACCCGCCGGAACGCCTTGCCCTACGCACTATGTAGGTATACCTGGGAAAGTCGAGAGGGGCAGGGTCAAAGCTGTTATCGCAAACTACTCCAATTTGGATTCGGCTTATAATGCAAAGCTACCTTCCCGTTTATGAGCGGAACCGACACAATTGCGCAATAATGCCTCGGAGCGCAAGGGCGTAGTCTCGTGGTCATTAAGAGAGTGAGTTGGTATCGACCATGGAACATTGACCATGCAACGTTTCAAACGCAAGTAAAGGGTAGTCTCAGGTGGCCCACGAAAACTTTTTCATCTGGGTCGTACACTGTTAAAAGGTAACTGATTCTCCTTGACAGTTTCGGCCGCATGCAGCGCCTTTGCGCGAGGATGATTTGCTACCTGCCTACCATGCCTAACACCTTGTCATACGAGCTTCAGAACGCCGCCTCGCTTCTCACGCCGACCCGCGCCTTGAAGTAAAATCTGGCCTAGGCTACCCGTCAAGACGTGTTTGCGCAATATGGATGCTGTCTAGTTGACGCTCGACTATCTAGATAGCTATACACTACAGCAGGGCGCCCTTGTCACCCATTGACAGCCGACTGAATCGGCAGCGGCGCGGACACTTGCTGCCTGTCAACCTTGTTCATCATAATCTACTGCGCTGGCCTCATGGTAGGCATTGGAACCATGCTTGCGGCGTTGTTACCAGGCGCCTAGGAAGCCAGCTCTGGTCTTTGCTCCGCTCTATGGAGCTGTTGTCGTACTTCCATCGTACCTCTCGGCTACGGAAGCGAATGGAAACCCAACAGCAGAGTCCCAACCTGCCAAAGGGAGCACTGCGATCAAATGGAATGGGCAACGGAGACGGGGGACGCACCACTGTCAATCGGGAGCCAAGGAAAAAGCCCACTCCAAAACCCGCTCCAAAAGCAAAGCTAGAAATCATCATCGATGTGCTGCCGCTTATCTCAATGGAGTCACAGGTCCTGTGTGGTGGTGATGTGGCCCTGTCCTTCCTTTCTTGTTTTCATATCCCCCCTGTCCACCACGGATATGGTGCTTCCTGCGCTCCCACTGCTGTTCTCTCTCACTGAATTGCTGGAGCCCGCGGTGGGCTCAGCTCCACCGAGGGCTACCGAGAGACGAACGCAGACAAGCCCCTCTAGCTGGCAATCCTTCCGAGCACTCCTCCTACTCCCGCCGCAGTTAAGGGGCCACCTAAGGGGCACCCTAAGGGGCCACCTAAGGGGTATCCTCCTTGTGGTGTGTCCAAGCCTGCTGCTCGCCTGCTTCCCTCCTCTCATCGACTGTTTGACTGTCGTACATCTGGCATCAGCCGTTCTTTGATTTCCAGGGCACCAGTATTGGGGCACGGGTAGTCCGGAGGGAGTCTTGTTACTCCATCTAGTTTTTGTCTCTCCATCTATATCATCTATCCGTCTGGGTATCTGTTTGTCTGTCTGTCTGTCTGTCCATGCATATGCTGTTCTGCAACCTGATTTGTTTCTGACGACCCCTGAAGACACACATACCGACTCATCATCAGAGCATCTTTGAGAATCCTTGGGCATATCTATCTTCTTCTTCTTCTGCTAAACGTACACTGCTGCAAGTAATGATCGCGCACTGGGCGTACGGCACATCAACCTTCCCAGCCCCCTAAAAGACCCACCCCCAAAGCACATCAATGTACGATACTTCTCCCGGACACCCGTCAGTGATTGATATCATTTGCATGTTTGCCAACCAAGTGGCTGCAGGCGCCACCAAGAACGAATCATTTTCAGGTTGCGCCCAATCGGCCGCAACCTCCTCCTCCCCCCTCCTCCTCCTCCCCTCAGCCACGGCCCCCTGCCCCTCTGCCCCACCCGCGGCCCCTCCCAACCTTCTCCCCTCACCCTTCGCAGCCCTCGTCAATAGCACGCCAAGTTCTGAGCTAGCTGATGGTAGAAACACCACCATCATCTTAACACGGCACCCTTAACATCTTAACTCCTTTTCCCTCCTTCCCTCTTCAGCCTGCCCTCAGCTCCGGTCCCCGTGGCGTCATTCCCCTCCCCCCCACCCGCCCTCCCTCCCTCCC